ACCCCGCAAAAAAACAGCGACAATCCAAAACTGAGGCCGCACCGACAAACGCGTGGACTGCACGATCGCACACTCGCCGCTGCCCGAAGAAACACCCACACGCACCCGCACGGAGAGTCCGCAGTGTGGGACGCACCCGCATAAATCAAAAATAATAATAAACAAATTCATAACCACCTCGCTTACCGTCTCCCCCGCCCAGCCCCTTCAAACCCCGCCAGCAGCAACACGCAGTGCGCATGCCGGCGGGACCTCCCATCACGGCCCCCACCTCCCTCAGCGCACTAAAGCAGGAGTGCGGCGCAACGTCAAAATTGAAAAAAAAAACAATAAAAACAATACAAAATAAACGGTGCACGCAGCACCACCACAAGAAGACACACGCAGCAGATGCCTTCCCTCTGCGGCCACAAAAACAAACTCTCGCAGCGAGACCACCGCCACCAACAAACCCAAACGCAATCGCCCGCCTCCCAGCCGCACCGCGGTGCTCGTGGAAGTGAAGCACCTCAAAAAAGGCTGAGTGAAAAACAAGAAACCGCTTCAACCACCACGCACGGCATGTACGCCTCCATACGACGTCGCCACCCTGCAGTGACGCACCTTCCGGCCCCAAAAAACGAGCCGTGCTCTCCTCCTCTTTACGCTGAGCAGCAACTCGGGGCGCGACGGTGTCACACCCCCGCCACGTGTGATTGGCGCACTCGCAGCGTGCCGCACGTAAATAATGTCCCCCGCAACAACTCGTCAACGAAAGTTTCCCCATTTTATCAAATATACCTCGCCGTGCACTCACCGAACTGCCTCACTGTGCCGGCGCCGCCGCAGCAACCTGTAGCCCAACCGTCCTCCCACGCCGGAAATTCACAATAAAATGCCTCCAAAGAAAGAAAACAACAACAACAACGTCTTTGGTCCCATGCCTACGCACTGCGTGGGCTGACGGAAGTCAGACGGCAGCGCAGCCTTTTTTTGTTTCGCCTCCTCCTGACGAAGTTCATGCGGGCTGGGCCTCAAGGACGGCATGGAGCATCCCACACTCCTTCCACTCCCGCTGAGCCTCCACCGCCCAGCAGCAAAAGAGCGTGCGATCACGAGGCTCCTCTGAGCGACCCACCGTGAACCCGCCGCGTAGACCCCTCCTGCCTTCACGCCCCAACGTGCAGGGGATACCGCGCACACTCTCCGCAGCCCCCACCAACGCCTTCTCTCTTAGAGGGCCCTTCGGCACCGCCGCCTCTCTGTCCCACCCCTCGATGGCCTCCACACGAGACTTACGCAAAGCCACGACCCCGACCGCCGCCCGTCCGCCAGCGCTTCTTCCC